TTACCACATAGTTTTTTTTTTTTTTGGCAAATACCACATAGTTTATTCATCTTTCTTTTTGTCGAATACTAATAGTTTATTCATCTTTCTTTTTGCGAATACTAATCACTAATGTTATTTATCATCTTTCTTGTTGCCCAATACTAATCACTAATGTTATTTATCTGCTTATATTAGAAAAGAAAGCGGACTTTATAAGGGAAGGGATTCTCATTTTTCTTAAAAAATGAGAATTAGTTAAGAGACCCACTTCACTTCGAACTTCAACGATCCAAACGGTCTATTTTGTAAGACTCAATTCATAAATCTTTTTTGCAAAAATTCAATTCAATCTGAAATTATTTGCCTATTTAATTATCATGATGAAATTTCAATTTCATAGAGAACAAAGTGTTCATCAATTTCTTTGAACTCAATTAAATGCTTCAAATATTTCTAATTTGGCTAAAATTTTGCAAGGATGATCTATGAGGTGCATCTTGAAAAATAAACAGTTTAGATCGTTAAAGTTTGATGTGGTATGGGCCCCCACAATTAATCTCCATTTCTATATATATATAAAAAATAGGGATCCCTTCCCTTAAAAGCTTATATCATAAAGTGTATAAGTTGAAGAAGTTAGTCTATCATAAAATTAATTAACAATAAAGGTAATGTCAAACTACTTATAAGCATATGTAAGGTCTCTCATTTATTTAATGTGAGATTCATTCTCAACATAAGTATCTTAATTTTGCAGCCCTTTGATAACTGTAAACATCGAAATTTCGGTAAATAAATGTTGACCGATAAATCAAAGTTTCAACGCTCATGTATTACATAAATTTTACACGTAGCGTGTGTCTAAACAAAAAATCAAAATAAGTTGGAAAGTCATCAAACAGGACACGTGTCAACACCTGGCAAAAACGACTTATTTCATCTGGAATATTATATTCAAAATTAGGCCTTGGAAATTTCTATAAATAGAAGGCTAATTCATTCATTAGAGGAGGAACCAAAATCATTAGGCAAAATTCTTGAAGCTTTGAAGCTCTGAAACTCCGAAGTTCTCAAGCATCCAGGTTCCCGAAGAATCAAGAAAGCGTTCTTCGTTCTTCGTTCATCGTTCTTCCAAGATCAAGCCCCGACGGCCCTTGGATTAACAATCACCAATTCAAGATCAAGCCCCGACGGCCCTTAAAGAAAGTGTTCTTCGTTCTTCGTTCATCGTTCTTCCAAGATCAAGCCCCAACGGCCCTTTGGATCAACAATCATCCACCAATTCAAGATCAAAGCCCCGACGGCCCTTGAAGAAAGTGTTCTTCGTTCCTCGTTCATCGTTCTTCTAAGATCAAGCCCTGACGGCCCTTGGATCAACCATCCACCAATTCAAGATCAAGCCCCAAAGGCCCTTGAAGAACTTCCACCAATTCAAGATCAAGCCCCGACGGTCCTTGAAGAAAGCACCATCGTTCATCATCCGTTCATCCAAGATCAAGCCCCAACGGCCCTTTGGATCAACAACGTCGACAAATCCACACATCCAACCGTTCTTCAAGATCAAGCCCAAAAGCCCTTGAAGATCCGTTCATCACTATTCTTCAAGATCAAGCCCAAAAAGCCCTTGAAGATCCGTTCATCACCATTATTCAAGATCAAGCCTCAACGGCCCTTGAAGAAACACTCATCCTCAAGATCAAGTCGCAACGGCTCATTGAAGATCCGCTCAAATCCACCTTCAAAGATCAAGCCCACGGCCCTTTGAAGAAACTTCCAACAGTTCATCCAAGATCAAGCCTCGACGGCCCTTGGATCAACGAAACATCCACAAATCAATACCTTACGGAGATCGAATCAGAGGATCAAAATAGAGAGAGATTGTAACCCAAAATCATCAAATACAAATATTTGTTTGTGCACGTTGTTCTTGTCTCTTTCGTTTCAGAAAATTTCGTGTTTACAAATTTGGCACGCCCAGTGGGACCATCTCTACCTCTCATCTCTTTCTCCATTCAAGGAATCCAAACACACCTCAAAGTCAATGGCATCAAGCAAAGGACAAGCCGTTCTCACAAAAGGAAGAAGCCTGAGCACTTCCACCACGAACAGAGCATCCATTGGCGCCACAACCACTCCTCAACATGCCACTTCAAAGTCAGTGCCGCTGAGGGAGCAAGTGGAGCATCAAAGACGCAAGCCCATCATCAACCTAACCTCGCTGGGGGCATCAAAGCATGCCGTTGAGGCACACAAGATGACGTCCCAAAGCAGCCAACAACGTTCTTTGTCAGCATCCTGGATGTCTAAAGGAAAGTCATGTCCATTGGTTGCACAAGTCATGACCATCGGCGTTACCTCCATCAAAGAACAACTGGCTCAAATGAATGAAGCGATCGCAAGACTAACACGGATTGTGGAAGAAAAAGACTTGCAAATCGCTGCACTCGTCAGCCAATTGGAGCCACAGGACGGTGAGAACCCTAACCCAGAAGATGAGCCTACGGTGGAGAGAATCGATGTGAAGCCGGAGCCAGACCAAGCAGCGGCACTCATGAGATCTCTTTCTATCCAGCAGCTGCAAGAGATGATCACCAACACCATCAAGGCACAGTACGAAGGGAGCTCACATACCTCCTTGTTCTACTCGAAACCCTACTCCAAGAAGATTGATGCCCTGAAGATGCCAAGGGGTTATCAACCACCAAAGTTCATGCAGTTTGATGGAAAAGGAAACCCGAAACAACACGTTGCCCACTTTGTTGAAACTTGCAACAACGCAGGGACCGAAGGGGACTACCTCGTCAAGCAGTTTGTGCGCTCGCTGAAAGGAAACGCCTTTGAGTGGTACACGGACCTAGAGCCTGAGTCCATCAACAGCTGAGAGCAATTGGAGCGGGAATTCCTCAACCGCTTCTACAATACTCGCCGCACTGTGAGCATGCTAGAGCTAACGAGCACAAAGTAATGGAAAGATGAGCCAGTCATTGACTACATCAACAGATGGCGCACTCTAAGCCTCGACTGCAAAGACAGGCTCTCAGAGACCTCTTCAATCGAGATGTGCGTCCAAGGTATGCAATGGGGTTTGCAATACATCCTTCAAGGCATCAAACCACAGACCTTCGAAGAGCTAGCCACCCGCGCCCATGACATGGAGTTAAGCATCGCCCATCATGGGAAGAAATAATCGATCTCTGACTACAAGATTGACAAAGTTCTTAAGACAAAGGTGGAGAATGCTGCGTCGAAATCCACCAAAGAAGCAATGACGGTCAACACGACTCCCGTCAAAATCCCTACACGAGGCAAGGCGATTCAAACCGAAGCTTTTCGTGATCAAGAGATGCGTAGACGCACTTTGAAGGAGCTTGAGGAGAAGACTTATCCATTCCCCGACTCTGATGTGGTTGCCATGCTAGATGACCTGTTTGACAAGAATGTGATCGGTTTGCCTGAGTGCAGACGGCCGGAAGAGATGAATCATACCGACAGTCCAAGATACTGTAAATTCCACCACTTTATCAGTCATCCGACAGAAAAGAGCTTCGTGCTAAAAGATCTCATCGTGAAGCTGGCTCAGAAAGGAATCATCGAGCTAGATCTTGACGATGTGGTGAAGTCAAACTACACCACCATCACTTCTGGCTCTTCCGACTCAAGGTTTTTACCTCAACCGCTGGGGGCATCCTCCAAGACAAGCAAAGTTGAAGGATGGACTCAAGTCACTCTTAAGAAATTGCACAAGAAGCGTATGTCTCCTCCACAAGTCCGCCAATCGGAAAGGGGGCAAAGCAGCTCTTGTCAACCTTCAAAGCAACGTGAACGTGTTAAAGATGATGAAATTTCGACACATAGATCGTCCATCCCCATCACGATGCGCGATTTCTTTCCTGAAGACTTCTTCAATCACTCGGTCAAGACTCCTTGCTATGAAAATTGCAAGGAATGCCTCTCCAGGATCGTTTGACAAATTCACAAAGCTCCTTGCCCACAAGAGCCTAAATTGCAGGACACACAAAGCTCCTAGTCTGCACGAGCATAAAAGGCAACATCAAAGCTCCTGGTCTGCACGAGCATAAAAGGCAACATCAACGCTCCTGGTCTGCACGGGTTTAAAAGGCGACACAACATGCTCCTTGCCTGCACGAGTTGAAACTGCAAACGGCACCAAATTCTCCTTGCTTGCACAAGTCAAAACTGCATGGCATGAAGCTCCTGGCTCGCAAGAGCATAAACTGCGTACAACACAAAAAATAAATAAAATAAAAAAAATAAAAAAAATCTGTATTTGAACTACGTTTTGACTTGATCTTTTTCTTTGGAAGGGTACGTAGGCAGCTCGAGCATTCAATTTCGAGTTCAGTCACATCAAAATAAAAAATAAGATTTTATTGAATATTTGACTATTGAGAGTCTATTTTTTATTACAAATACAAACATTTTCTTTGTGAAAAAAAAAGGGCGGGGGGCGGCCCATCTTTCTAATTCCAATAAGCCCAACTATTTTCTTTGCCAACCCAACTTCTCCATCCGCCATGGATTCCTACGAAGCTAGAAGAACTGAGTTCTCAAGGATTCAAAATTTGGACCCAGCCTGCTTCTGATACAAGACCATGAGGAGAAAGAAATGATAAGTCTTGCTTTTGGGCCTAAAACTTTTCTTCACTATGCGGCTGAAACCCATGGTGCTGCCTCCTCTCTCACTCAGTCACTCTGCAACTACAAGACAGAATCTAGGTGCGATGGCTACCGTTCCGGGACAACTGATTTGGGAGATCGTAATGAAGAACAACTCATTCCTGGCGAGGGAGTTCGGCTGCGGCAACACCGGCGTCCACTTCAGCAAGGACACCAGCAATCGCAGGCCTCCCTCCATTTCACAAGCCCAGAAGTCAATAGATCGATTGATATCGTTGGCGGCGCAAAGGCCCATTCTGCTTCCATCGTCTTCGATCCCAAAACGGCAGGACAATGTCATTCTATTCAACAACCAGAGCCTTGTCGCCCAGATCCTCCCCTGCTCATACTTTTCGAAAGCAAGTTAATCACTCTTCCAAGGTTTCGAGTTCGATTAACTGTTTAATCAATAATGGCTGGTTTTGTTAGAACCAGATCGAAGAGGGTCACTTACCTGCTCGACGATCGGGTGAAAGAGCGACTAGTCGGCGGATACAGCTCCGGACTCAGTGATGTCAGCAGCGGAAGCGAGCACTCCGGCGACTACAACTCCCCCTACCTTTCCGAGCTCGTCCATCGCTTCCTCCAAGACGACGAGTCGTCCACCGCTGGTTTTCCCGACAACGAGTCCGACTCGGACCGAGTCGACTCGGCCTCTGACGCGGACGTGATCGACTCCGTCCTTAGGTCCATGGCCGTTTCTGGAAATGCGGACTCGTACCTGATGCTGCTCCATTCTTACGTTTCCCAGGCGGAGGAGGCGTTCGCGTGTTTGAGATCCAATGGCGGCAGCAGCAGCAGGTCGGCTCTGCGGCGGAGCGTGATGTTGTTTCTAAGGGGATTGGGACACAATGCGGCGATCTGCAAGACGAAATGGACCTCCTCCGACAACGTCACCTCCGGGAGCTACGAGTTCATCGACGTCGTTCTTGTCCAATCGGGCTCTTCCATGTGGCAGAGCCGGTACTTCGTGGACCTCCATCGCCCCACCTGAATTCGCTCATCTCGTGCCTAAATCGGCATCGGACTCCATGACCTGATCCGACTTCCAACTCTTCCTCACCTCCTGGCGAGACCCGTGCTTTCCTTCTCGCCCAGAACCCAAATTTATACAAAAAAAATATATATTAAAAAATAATAATAATAAAAAAAATAACAAATAAAAAATAAATAAATAATAAAAATAATAATAAATAAATAATATAAATGGATGGTGCATCTGGCACCATGTGCGAGCAAAAAGAAAAAAAAAGAAAAAAAATTGAGTGGTAGTGGTAGTGCTAGCAAAAAGAAAAAAAAAATAATAAATAAAAAATGAGAAAGGAATAGTAGTGGTAGTGCCAGTCAAAAGAAAGAAAAAGACTATATATAATAAAAAAATAAAAAGAATGGTGGATGTGAACACCACCGAAAAGCAAAAGAAAAAGGTGGGTGTGTGTATATGGTTGGTATGTATTATATATATGTACGTGGCACCAAAAGCATTGTATATAAAAAATAAAAAATAAAAAACAAGAGAAAGGGTCATGGTGCGGTATGATTATGGTGGCCATCATCTAGTTAGTGGTGATGGTGTGAGCACCACAGAAAGCAAAAAAAAAAAAAAAAAGCATTGAGAGAAATAGAAGTCCATTTCATTTATTTTTCTGGAAATTTTACATAAATTTGCATTATACATACCTTTTAAAAAAAAATCAAATCAAATCAAATTTACAAGAGGGGATTTTCAAGGACGATCAGGTGGCGCCTCACCACTCGGCAGAGCCCCAAAAATGAGAGGCGCCGGAGGTTGACTGTTTGAAGCCACACCACTCGGCGGAACCCTAGGAAGAGAAGGCACCGAAGGTTGATCATTTGAGGCTTCATTACGCGGTACAGCCCCAGAAGACGAAGGTAAATGCTGTTGGAACAAACCCACAAACCTCTGATGACCAAGTAAAATCTGACCTTCAGATTCCTGCATCTGGCAAATCTTCCTCTTCATGTTTGTAGCATAGTTATGTGCAAGCTTGTGCAACTGTTTATTCTCATGCTTGAGCCCTCTAATATCCTGTTTGAGACTCATCACTTCAGCCGCCAATGATTCAACTTGACGGGTTCGAGCAAATAGGCATTGGGCCATATTAGACACAGAACCTGCACATTAAGAGCCACAGAATCCTTAACAGCCAACTCATCAGACCGCTTGGAAAGTAGTCTGTTATCTTTGGGAGTGACAAGGTTCCGAGCCACCACCGTAGCGGTCATATCATTCTTCATCATCGAATCCCCAACGGTAAGAGGACCAGTAGAGGATATGAAGGATGGGTGCCATATGTTATCTGGAGAAGACGGGGCTGCCTCTTCACCAAGGTTCAAATCAAAACGACGGTCGGAGGGTCCAGACATTTTCAAAGGTGTTGAAGAAATAAGAAGTCGGACAAAATCAAGATCTTATAAGTGCACGAAGGGAGTTTTCTACAAGCAAAAAAAAAAAATTCAAGTGTGCTTTGAAACGAACTGCATGCCTCTATAAAAATCAACACTCGACGGGATTTCAGAGATTGAAGAAGCGAGCTCAGAATTCGAAGAGGCCAATTCAAAAAATCAAGGAGGCAAGCTCAAAAATCGGAGAAGCATCTTGCTTTTCCAGAAGCGTTAGCACCCGTCACGCGCAAACTCAGCTTTGCGGAAATCACGGGCAATTTGTTAAAGCGCCAATCCCAGATATCGAAGAGGCGCCAGTCTTTTTCAGCCTCGTCAGCACCCGTCACGCGCAAACTCAGCTTTGCGGAAATCACGGGCAATTTGTCGAAGCGTCGATCCCAGATATTGAAGAGGCGCCAGTCTTTTTCAGCCGCGTCAACACCTGTCATATGCACACTCAACTTTGCACAAATCACGGGCAATTTGACGAAGATTTTCGGTGAAGGAGAAAACACGTGAAGTTTACTGTTCAATCATCCAACGGTTGTCGACAAGAGTGAAAGAACAGTACCGGTTATTAATCCATATAAATGTCCACCTTCACCCTTCATAGCAGGGCAGACCTATAGAACCTTTCTTCATCTCCGAGAATGCCTTCCCAACGAAGCCTCTCGGGTCACTTAGTGTTCCTTATTCCTTGGGGTACCTCTGCAAGCCAATGACTCCAAAGCAAAAGTATCTCATATCACCAGGGTAGAAAGCAAGAGTATCTCATATCATGCGTTCTCCCTGTCCTTTCCTTTGTCCTTGTTCCTACCTACAAAGACAATGATAAAGAAAACAATATGCCGGAACTTCCACTCAAACTCGGGTAAGGAACCGACTGCTGGGAACCCTTCCCTGATTACCTACCTAGCACTACTCTTGAGTACTCGTCTCCCACTGCTGCTGTACTTCCAAAGAAGCTGCCACATCTGCCTGAAGAACAGATAAGGCAAGTGAAAATGATACCTTGCAGCACGTGGAGACAACATGCAGAAGAAATAAGCAGAGAAGAATGCAGCATGCACAGTCAACTCAACAGAAGGAGTCTGAGATGAGGAACTCGAGAAGATGCCACATCTACCTGAGGAACAGATAAAGGAAATGAAAATGATACCTTGAAGCATATGGAGACAAGTGCAACAAAGCACGTGCTGAGTTATCCGCTACTTCTTCAAAATCAAAAGTATCTCGTATCATCAGGGTTGCAATCATTCTGGACGGTGAATTCGATTTGACCCTCAAATTCTTGGGTCGGCTTACTAGGCGTTGTGAGTTGCACGTGTCGATTCACCACCCTTGAATCAAATCCTTAAAGATCAAGTTACCAACTGGAAGAAGAGCCCATCAATCTTGAAGATCATACCGTTGACCAAATTGCTCAGGTGTGAATTAGAAAGATTGAACAGAGCAACAAGTCGTCACCTTCACCTCGTGCATGCTTGTCATGTGTTCGAGTCAACCTTCAAGAATCAAGCCTCAACGGCCTTTGAAGAAGTTTCCAGCCAAATTCAAGATCAAGCCTTGACGGCCTTGAAGAAATCACAAGTCCAATTCAAGATCAAGTGTCTACCACTCTTGAATCAAAACCTAGTTCAAGAATAAGCTGTGGAAAATCAACAATTGGAGGAATCTAGAAAATCCTCCAACCCAGTTCAAGATCAAAGCTGTAGAAAGTCAACAAAGCGCAAAAAACAAATACGTGCTGATTCATTCACTACCCAAGCCAAAGATCATCTACCACATGAAGCTCCTTGTGGTCCAATTTCAACCTTCAAGATCAAGCCTCGACGGCCCTTGAAGAAATTCCAAACAAATTCAAGATCAAGCCTTGACGGCCCTTGAAGAAATCTCCAGCCCAATTCAAGATCAAGCCTCGATGGCCCTTAGATCGACATCTACATTAAGGGACTTCAAAACGCATCTCCTACACGCGACAAGCACATGTATGCAATGCGTCTTGAAGTGGGGGCATTTGTAGACATCGAAATTTCGGTAAATAAATGTTGACCGATAAATCAAAATTTCAACGCTCATGTATTACATAAATTTACACATAGCGTGTGTCTAAACAAAAAATCAAAATAAGTTGGAAAAGTCATCAAACAGGACACGTGTCAACACCTGGCAGAAACGACTTATTTCATCTGGAATATTATATTCAAAATTAGGCCTTGGAAATTTCTATAAATAGAAGGCTAATTCATTCATTAGAGGAGGAACCAAAATCATTAGGCAAAATTCTTGAAGCTTTGAAGCTCTGAAACTCCGAAGCTCTCAAGCATCCAGGTTCCCGAAGAATCAAGAAAGCGTTCTTCGTTCTTCGTTCATCGTTCTTCCAAAATCAAGCCCCGACGGCCCTTAAAGAAAGTGTTCTTCGTTCTTCGTTCATCGTTCTTCCAAGATCAAGCCCCAACGGCCCTTTGGATCAACAATCATCCACCAATTCAAGAAGCCCCGACGGCCCTTGAAGAAAGTGTTCTTCGTTCCTCGTTCATCGTTCTTCCAAGATCAAGCCCCGACGGCCCTTGGATCAACCATCCACCAATTCAAGATCAAGCCCCAAAGGCCCTTGAAGAACTTCCACCAATTCAAGATCAAGCCCCGACGGTCCTTGAAGAAAGCACCATTGTTCATCATCCGTTCATCCAAGATCAAGCCCCAACGGCCCTTTGGATCAACAACGTCGACAAATCCACACATCCAACCGTTCTTCAAGATCAAGCCCAAAAGCCCTTGAAGATCCGTTCATCACTATTCTTCAAGATCAAGCCCAAAAAGCCCTTGAAGATCCGTTCATCACCATTATTCAAGATCAAGCCTCAACGGCCCTTGAAGAAACACTCATCCTCAAGATCAAGTCCCAACGGCTCCTTGAAGATCCGCTCAAATCCACCTTCAAAGATCAAGCCCACGACCCTTTGAAGAAACTTTCAACAGTTCATCCAAGATCAAGCCTCGACGACCCTTGGATCAACAAAACATCCACAAATCAATACCTTACGGAGATCGAATCAGAGGATCAAAATAGAGAGAGATGGTAACCCAAAATCATCAAATACAAATATTTGTTTGTGCACGTTGTTCTTGTCTCTTTCGTTTCAGAAAATTTCGTGTTTACAATAACTTTTTTATTTTTTATTTAAATGAAATTTTTTTTGGTAACTAGTTTTGGGTTTTTTATAAAAGAAAATGAAAGCTGAAAATTGAAATCCAAATTTTGCACACTCTAAAAGAGTATTTTTCATTTTTTTAACTAAAATTAGTTACCAAAAAAATTTTCAATTTAAAAAAAATGAAAAAAAAAAACGTAAAAGGATATGGTTATTGTCATAGCCCGTCCCGAATTATTTTTTTATCGATGGCGTGAAATGACTAAATTGCCCTTGGACGTTAGTTGGTGTTGTGGGTGATATGTTTGGGTTGTGGTCCAAATTCATGTTAAGTCCTAATTGTTTGGACCCAACTAGAACTAAATTTTTCCTAGTTTGTGGTTGGTTGTTTTGTTGCCAACTAGGACCACACACACTCACACACATCCATACC